CGTCTACCAGCTGAGCTTTCCTTTTCACCTACTGACTCCAGGGGCAGAGACTTGGGGATGGAGGTCTAGGTGAGGAAACTGAGGCTTACAAAGGTAGAGTGACTTGCCGAAGCTGGCACAGATGACCTAAGTAAGTAGGTTTGCATTCAAACCTGTGACCTCTGGCCTTGGTTCCTGGGTCCTTTCCCCTGAACTATGCGGCCTGTAGCTTTGTGCTCAGGTGAATCTGTCTGGCATCTAAGCTGGACGTGAGTATCTACTTGTTCCTTCAGCTGCACAATCCAAGGCTCCTGGAGCTCAGTGATGGTTACGCCTTGGATTGCAGAAAGCACAATCTCTGTCCGGCAGACGGCTCTGAGAAACTCTGCCAGGTCTCCCCCTCTCTGGATTCATATTTGCATGAAAACGGTCTGTCGGCCATTTTATGAAGTCGGATGAAACACAGGCTTGCCAGGGGGATGGCCAGGCCTGACTGACTAAATCCTGCAGACCATAGTTCTATTTAACCCCCAAACTGAACTAATATATTTGGATAGGCCTATAGACAATTAGAAAAACAAACCTACAGCCCCCGGTATTGATTGACTGAGAAATGAAGAATGAAGACAATTTATGACGATCATACTTTTTAAAAGGTTGATGCAAAATCGCTGTTAACAATTATGTTCCTTTGTGAACATGTTAGATTCCCACACCCACAACATCAGGAGAATATCAGATTCAGGAGTGAAGGACCATGGATGAAATCCTGAGCTAAAAGGGGCCTTAGGGGATGTGCAGCCTAACTCATACATTTTATGGATGAGGAAATGGAGATAGAGCAAGGTGAAGGGACTTGCCCACTGTCCTGTTCTTAGAACATGTCAGAAGTGGGATCTGAAGGGAACTCTGTCAGTCAGCTATGTGGCCTAGTGTGTAGAATGCTAGACCTGAGGTCAGAAACACCTGGATTTGAATCCTGCCTCAGTCCCTTATTAGCTGTGTGTTGTGGGCAAGGGTACTTGTGAAACTGGGGCAGTATGAGCTGGGCGCCTCCTCCCCACCCCCAATACTGAGTAAGACTTTGTGAACCCTGCAGAAGCATAGGGGTCAGTCTGAGTTAACTTTGCTCCCCTGTAGACTGATCTGGGATCCACGGGGCAAGGAGGATGGAAAGTCAACACTAGGCCTGAGCACAGGGTTCTTGAGACTCTGGAGAATTTTCCTACTCAAAGTTTTTTGTTGTTTTTTATTAAACTGCCTAGGACAGTGTTGTGAATCTCTGATAGAAATGGGAATGGATCAAAAGGATCCCTGGGGGTGCCGAGTGACTTTGTTTTAAAATGGAATGTTATTTCTCTCTTATTGTGTTTCTATTTATTTTGTTAAATATTTCTCAATTCCGTTTTAATCTGGTTCAGGGGCACTTAGGAGCATAGCAGGCTGGCTATGCGTTGAACAACTTTGACCGAGGAGACTACTTTTATTTGGGTGGTCTTGAAGATGTTTTTATTGAAGGGTTTCTTTATTTGAACTCTCAAGCCAGGAGGGGATATGCAGTTACTTGTCTCTCAGCTTCAATATGGGGGTGATAACAGCACCCCCCTCGCAGGGCTGATGCAAGGATCACATAAGATAACGAAGGCCAAGTGCTCTGTAACCCTTCGAGTGCTACATAAATACTGGATAATATTGTTATTATTAGCAATCTTTGTATCTCTAGTACTTAATTAAGCTCTGGTGAATTTAAAAATATTTAAAATTAATAAGTTAAAATTGATTTAAAAATTAAAAAATTAAATTAAAAAATTAAAAATGTCACCTTACAGAATGTGAGCTCCCTGAAGGCATGGTTTGGTTTGGTTTATTTGTTTGTTTTTTGGTCTTTTTATCTTCAGGGCCTAGCTCAGTGCTTGGCACATAGGACAAGTTCAATGAAAACTTTTAAAAACTGAATTGAATTAAACTGAATTGAATTGGAAGCTACAAAAGATTATGTCTAAAAAACACAATAGGTTTGAGAGAAAATAAAATCACTATGAATGTAGAAAACTCAAGACCATTTTGGGATAATGTTTTATACACACACACACACACACACATACATACATCTATTTATGTATACACAGTTATGCACATATATGGAGACAGAGAGAGGGGAGAAGAAGAAACAAAGAGCGAGAAGAGAGAGGAGAGAGGGGGGAGGGGAGAGAAGAAGAAGAAGAAGAAGAAGAAGAAGAAGAAGCAGAAGAAGAAGGAGAAGGAGAAGGAGAAGAGAGAGAAAGGAGAGGGAGAGAGAGAGATTGAATGAGGGAGGCAATTTGGTGGAAAGGTCAGAGAACTTGTCTCAGTCAATCAGATTTGGGTTCAAGGTCTGCCTTTAAGATATACTGACTGTAAGACTCTGCATAAGTCACTTTACTGACCTCAAGACTCTGGGTAAGTCACTCAGCCTCTAAGGGCCCCAGGCAGCTCTGTAAGACAATAAATTGAAGAATAGGCAGCTGATCTGTTTTCATCCAGGAAGTGCCTTCACTGGAATTTCCCTGTACCAGTGAAATCACAAGTCTGGACCAAAAAATGAAATTTTAAATTTAAAAGTATATGTAGGTGTAAATTTTTGTCCTTATTAGCCATACTAAACAATTCAGCACAATTGATACAAACTATGTTGTATGCACATATGTGCACGTATGCATTTATACATGTACACTTCATGTAAAGCACATTACAGAATTTAAAGCACCAGAGAAATGTCAGCTAAAAATATTTGGATGAAGGGAACAGTAGGATGAGTCGAGGAACAGCGGAGATGCGCGATTTTGGCACCTAACAATTCACAGAAGTGCTGAGGCTTATGGAATGAAAGTCATTCTAGGACCCAGGGTCTGTCTAGCAGGATTTAGAGCTGGAAGAAGACTGAGAGGCTGCCGAGGCCAAACTTTTCATTTGACGGAGGCGGAACTAAGACTCAGAGAGCCTTGCCCAGGGTCACAGGGACTGGTGGGAAATTCAAACTCGGGTCCTCGGACTCCAAATTTCTTCTTCTTTCCGAAGTACCATGAGAGCAGACCATAACTCAAACTCTTCTGGCCTTGGTACCAAGTCTCTTCATCTCTTCTTCCAGCCAGGAAAGGCACAGGGAGGTAGAAACAACAAAAGTACTAACAATCATCAAAGGAAGAGGCCAGGAATGAGCTCAGTCAGGGAAGATGGAAAGGGATTATTCAAGGGATTAGGTGCTCAGTCTCTCAAGAGTCAACTCTCATCAATACAAGCTTAATTCAGCCTTTTCTCCAAAAGTGGGGAAAAATCAAAAATAAATAAAAGTGGAAATTTACAGTCATGTTTTAAAAATTGTCCAAGATTACCATTACAGACCATATCTCTTCTTTTCCCTTTTGTCCTTGTCATTTGTACCAGTTGGGCTATATTAGACAATTTAATGTTTCTTAGGTGGTGCAATGGATAGAGTGCCGTGCTGGAGTAAGGCCTCTTCCTGGGTTCAAATCTGACCTAGACATTTACTAGCTATGTGACCCCAGGCAAGTCACTTAACTCTGTCTGCCTCAGTTTCCTCATTTGTAAAATGAGCTGGAAAAGGAAATGGCAAACCAGTCCAGTGTATTTGCCAAGAAAACCCCAAATGGTGAGTCAGACATAACTGAAAAATAACTGAACAACAACACCAATATAATAGTATATCATCTACATCATATAGGCTCAAAGGAAGGGCACCAACACGCTGGATGGTTCCTCTTTGGAGGGTCTATGGGAGAACTTAGACCAGAATCCCACAGGATGAGACACACCACGGCACCAGTGAAGAAACAACCCACCCTCATGAGGTCACTGACCTATCTACATAATGAAGTAGTGATCTATCTTGATGACACTCAAAATACAGTATCTCAACAGAGATATTGGGACTGAACTCATGATTTCACTGATAGAGGGGATTCCCTTGTGAGGAAACTCCCTCCACTCATGAAGGTGGGCACCTTCTTTGCAATGTGAACAGAGTTCCTTGGAACACTGAGAGCTTAAGAGCTTTGTTAGAAGGGAGGCTGCAGTTTGGCGTGAAGAGTATTAACACAATGGTGACATAAAGAAAAAAGTTATCAATGAAACTTATTTAAAGCAAAAAACTTAAAAGGGTTTCATTTCCCCCCCAAGTTATCAACAAAGTGACTGGTCCAGCACAAAAATGGTTTTGAAAAGTCATAGCTTCCAGCCCAGGTTTTGAAAGTTTCTTATTGACAGGTGTGAGCTGACCTCAGGTATCCTATGCAAGAATGCCTTCTCAAGCCATCACATATATAAAGCTGGAAAGGACGTTACGGATGGTCAAGTCCAACTGTCTTGTCTTACATTAGGGGAAACTGAGGCCGGGGGTGGTAAATGCCTTATCCACATTTATACAGTGAGTCAGGAGGCAGAGCGGAGGGTAAAACACTGTCCCCTGACTCCCACAGCCCAATGCTGCTCTGCCTTACGGTTTTTTTTTTTTTTTTGGTGCTATCTGGTAGATAAAAGGAAGGGCAATGTTGCTCCTCTGTTCAAAATTGCTCATTGGTTCCCTACTGCCTTCCACTCAATAGGGACAAGGTGAAAAAGGCAAATTTCAGCTTGAAGGAAAGAGGCTTTGTTTAAAATTGACTTTCTTTCAATCCCTAGTGGTTAGCACAGTTTCAGGTACCTAATGGTTGCTTAATAATTGCTTGTTGACGACTTCCTAAGAAGTCTCCCAAAGTTGCCTTGCAAGGTAGTGATTTCCCCGTCGCTAGAAGCATCCAAGAGAGGTCTCCTGACCCCTTGTTGGCGACTCTTAGGTACAGGTTGGCCCAGATGCTGCTAAAGTCCCTTCCAGCTCAGAGGCTTGGCAAGTCTGCTTGGGGAGACCAAATGGTCAGAGAGTTCAGTATTCTGTGGAGGTCTCAAGTTTGGGAAGTTCCTGGGCTAGAGGCACAGCTGGGGGGTTCAAAATGAGGCAGGAGAGAGTTGCCCCAGGCTAAACTTACCATTTTCTGGCTGGTCCTTGATGTCGGCTTCACTTGGCTGGCTGGGACTTTCAGATTGACTCGAGTCTGAAAAACAGAAAAAGACAGCCAAAAATTACAGGGTCTGCTGTGGAAAGTGGCTCAGAGGCGCCAGACTTCCTCAAAAAAGGTTGAGAGTCCAACCCAGAAATGAAAATGCACGAGCGGGCCACGATAACACAAAAAGCGGCCGGTGCCTTCGCGAGAAAAATCGGAACCTCGCTCGCTTCCAGCCCTCCCTCTGGGGCGCCTTCGAGGGGTCCCCGAAGGTGCCCCAGCCCAACTCGGAAACTTCTAAGGGTCCCATCCTTCTCAACTGCCTTCATTCAGTATTTATGTGCCGGAGTCTGGGGAAGACTTCATCCTTCATGACACCCATCTGAGGCTTGATTCACAGCATAATAAAATGTCAAAACATATTTTGAAGCTGGTATATAAAAGCAATCAAACAACAGTAACAAGTTCTGGTGGGTTTTTTTTTTTTTTTAATTTTTGCAGCAAGGCTGCACAAATTCAGACTAACGCTCTGTGGCGCAGCCCCCATCAGAGCCAATGGGGTGGAGGCTGCCTTCAAACAACGACCTAGCCCACAGGGACCTTCCGAACAAACGTTTACCCCACTTTAAAGGTTACATTTCTCTTATTAAAGTGTTTGGGAAAGTCTGTGAGGGGAGCAGTGAGGGGTACCGAGAAGGAAACCTCAAACCTTCTGGACCCAACTGGACTTTTGGCACCTCATTAGACCTGAATTTATTCTTCCTTTAAAAAAAACTACCACCACCAACAAAGTAGTTGGGTCTCTATATACAAAGTAACTATGGTAACATAAAATAACTTCTCGGGGTCTCAGTTTCCTCATCTGTAACATGAGGGGGTTGAACTAAATAATCTCTAAGTTCCCTTCTAACTAAAAATCTATAAGCCTATGATGCTGTTCTTTAAGTGACCATGGGATTGGAATGTTGAATGAATCCAGCACCAGACTCGTCATCTCAGAGTTTTTCAGTGTTAAAAAGGAGGGTTTAATTGGGGGTTAATGAAGGGAGAAGAGAAAAAATGGCCATGATGTCAAAAGCAAAAAAAAAAAATCATTACAACTTTAAATACTATATATATACATATATATAAATTAAATATATAATTTAAATATAATCCAACATTTTAGTAACACTGAGGCACAAGGGTTGCCGTAAGAATCAATGAGATAACATCTGTTAAGCACTTAGCATAATGCCTAGCACATAACAGGCACTATGTAAATTTTGGTTATTATTATTATTATTATTACTCCAAAACCAGAAAATATCTTGATACATCTGACCTAATTTCCAATGCCATTGTTTTAAAATCAAGTCAATTTCCAAAGACCAAAAGAAAGCCATGGTGGTGGGAGGCATTCTGAAGTGATCATGCTTATTTGGGAGCCCATAGGTGGAAGATTCTGCCCGAAGCATTGGTTGAGAATCAAAGCAACTCAAAGACATCTCCCCAAAGACCGACAACCACCTCAATCCCAACTTAACCTTGACTTCCCAAGGTTCGGAATTCACCTGTCTGAAATCTGACCACATTTCCGCAAGAAGTCAATGCAAGATCAAAAGGTCACGACCCTTCTCCGTGATTAAATGGAAAATCTTACATCTGCTGCAGGAGAATTATTACACCTTCCTTCTTTTTCTTTGAGGTATTAATAACCCAGAAAGAATCAGTACTACTAGTGACCTTGGGTCAAGCAATGCTAATTTATTGCTTTAGAAAAGCTCCCTCCTTTTAAGCAAATGAGGATTTTAATTATAGGAAAGTACTATAAAGAAAATGCCTATTTTAAATATTCAGATTTAAAAAAAATATCTATAACCTGGTGCCTCTATAGATTGGCTACTCAGTAAATGCCTTAGAGACTGATTCTGTACCCATTAGAAAGGTCCAAGGAACAGGAGGTGAGAAAATTGAAGCAGAGATTTAAGCCTGGCAAAGTCATACTTTTAATCATCTGGCAACAGCTTCTGTAGCACAAATAAAAATAAAAACTCTAAATGTCAAAAAAAACTTTAAAAAGAAATCACTTACAATTACTTATCAAAAAGAACAGAAAGTCTTCACTAAAAATTGGAGAAGAGGGGGATGTGATACCAAAAGCTTTTATATGGAATCATATTTTAAATGTCAATTACAGAAATTTGCACGAGCTTAGCAGAATGCTGGGGAGGTGAAAATCATTGTTCATTGCGTAAATTGTGTACTCTTGTCATGATAAGTGATAAATCAATCTTCCAAAAATAATAATTCAACATATTTCAGTGGATGGACAAAACATTCCTTATTTCTGCCTCAGAAAGGGTTAAACTGTTGGCACCTGTAACTAGGCGAAAAGGAAAAGATAATATAGTTCCTTTTTTTTCCAGAAAGAGAAGGTTGCGTCCGCCCCCCTGCCAACCTCTATCACATCACCAGAGGCGAACATCGTGTTTAATCCATAGGACTATTTTCTTTAGAAATCTGACTCTTCCAACTATGATGACTTCAGGTTTCTGTAGAGAAGTTGTGCCTGTATTCTGGTTCCTAAGCATGGTATCTTTACCTTTCACCAACTCCCCACAAGTAGAATATGTGGGGAAAATACAATCTTTTGTCCCACAGGGTTTATAGTGACTGTGTAGGTTTTCTGAGGGATCTATCCGACAAAATTTAAAAAGGAGAAAGGCTAGTGAATCTAAACACACACATGTGCACACACACTCAGACACACCAAATGGTTCAGAATCTGAAAGTGGTCTTCTTTGTTCTTCTGCATTTAACTTATAGATTTGCTTTTCTTCTCTACCTCTGCAGAAATGAAACAGCAATGTGGGACAAGGAACCACAATGAAAGAATGAGTTTTTAAAAAACACAAAAAAACTCCTCCCCTACACAGTAAAGAGATGTGGGAAAATTGGTATGCAAGGTGGCCAAGCCTGTTTATGAAAGGCTCAGCACCCAACACCAAAGAAGGCATCTCTGCAGCCGTACTCATAAATGGAATTCTGTGTCTCAAGTTGCAGACACTGTCATCTGGGAGTGACCCACCTATTAAAATGGACTGTCCATCCCTGTTAACTTTAGTTACCATGGGATTTGAGTGGCCTGAAGGATTTTGTCACTCCTCTCCCCCCTCACTCATTTTCCTGGCATATCTTTCCGACTCCAAAAGGACCTTTGAGTCCTATAGACGCTCCACACTCGGGCGTTCCGGATAGAGACTGCCTCTGATATTACAAAGGGTCACTAATGCTTCTGAGTGTGTAGCTGAACAGGTGACTGGCCAGAGGTATAAATTAATTTCTATCTATACATAATTCATACAAATGAAAGATCTCCTTCTTAAGTGTTTGCATTCAATCAATAATATCACTCTTGGCATAGTGAAGGTTAACAATTCATTTGCTCCTTTGTTCTCTATACTTGATGGAGACTTTTCATAACTGAAAAGTACATCTCATAATTGACTACTCTTTTCTTTTTTTTTTTTTTTGGTTTCACTTCACAATATTGCCAGATGAATTTTACCACCTATAATAACGAAAAAAAAGTCAAAGTGGATTGTAATTGAGGGTCCCTCTTGAATCCAGAGACCAGTAGAAGCAGCAGTTATGAGTCGCCCCTGCTGCCTTAGGTCGGCTTTGGTTGAAAGCCAAAGATTTTGTGTATTATGATAAAGTGAATGTTATTAAAAAGTATATCGAAAAGATCTCAGATGGGAGTTGGAAACATTATTGTGAGGAAGTGCATTAGAGTTATCAATTTTTCTTTTTCATCTGGGGATCAGTTTTTTGTTTAAGGCTTAGACTTCAACATAACCTTGAAAAGTAATGTTTCTTTTGGTTTTTAAAAAATGTATGAGCAGAAATTTAAACCGAAAATAGACAAGGTTAGCATATAGGAGGCTGGGATCAGACCGCTTAATTGAACTAGCATCCATCTATCTCTGCACTTTCATGGCGCCTACGGCTACATTGCCAGAGTGCTCAGACAAAGATATTTCACTATCGACAAAATCACCGGGGAAAGGAATAAAAAGAAATACTAATGCGTCAAGTAGCAGCCTTTGCTTCCGTAAGCTGGTTCTTTGTGTGAGCGTCAAAAACGCCTAACTTAATTCCTGACTCATACCAATGACCGCGTATTTCCTCAGTTCTCAATTCTGCCTTTTCTAAACTACCATTGCTCTCTGAGGACTCCACGTGTAGTTCTTGACTTAGTGGTGATCACTGAAGTAAGGTAACATGGTAAGGACTGATCTATCCAAAACGGAGACTTTCTATTCCATGTCTTACGATCCTCAATACAAAACAAACAGAGCAAATAGCTTACATGCCTTTTACTTGTTGGCCAATTTTCTAAAATTCACTGGGAAACAGCACACGAATAAAACGTGAGTGGATCTTTAAAAAAAATCATTTTGCTCCAGACCTCCACTGAAGTTGTATCTCAATACCTTAGTGTGGCATGAAAGTGATCCAGTGTATTCAGAGACGACATGCTGGGACACTAAGCTCTGGCAGGTCCTACTAAGGGAGAAAGGCTTCAAAAACTCAAATCCGACCTATATGAGTTCAGAGGAGACCTGATGATGGAATCTGAGCAGGCATGAAAGGTGTGGTAGAAAAAAAAATCATCGTATTTAGAACCAGAAAACCAGGTTCTCACATCCTGCTCCTGCCACATGGTCTCTGTCTACCCTTAGGCAAATCCTTTAAATCTTGTTTGGCCTCAGTTTCTTTCCCTGTAAAATGAAGAAATTAGACTCGGGATCTGCCGAGCCCCCCTTCCAGTTATAAATCCTCTGTTCCTAAAAAGATACAAAAGACATTCAATGAGGTCTACGTTGGTAGAGAAAATAGTAGTCAAATCAATGAAATCATGAATATTCTCAGAATACTCTAGGACATTCAAAATATTCTAAGTATATGCCCCAAGAACACAGGCACATAGTCTGTAGAAATTGTCATCAGGGCTCCGTGTCTGCTACATTATTATGGGGGCTAAGCGGATTCTAAGGTTAACTCAT